TGATGGGAGAAAAGAGGTGTCGACATGGATGGAGTCAAGTCTGCATGGGTGGCAACCAGAGAGACATGGTGCAGCACCTCTTTTTGCAACACACACATGCACTCACAAACAACTTCATGGAGAGAGAAGAGAGGAAAAACAAGAAGATGATGGAAAACATAACCACAGTGACAGCCAGACAACCAGGGATGATAATTAAGTCTGGAAAGATAAGAGGTAGAAACACGAGGTGGCAACAGTAAACACAGACGGACAAAGGAAGAGGTGGAGTGCAGAATGTTGCTACTGTGAGTGGAAATCAGGGGTGAGTCATTAATGAGTCATTAACTCAGGAGCCATAGGAAGGGAAACACACCATAAGGTAGTGCACGCTACAAAAAGTCACGTTTTTCTTTTATAACCATTTAACTTTATTTTTAAGGATCACATTTTTTAAGGCTTATCTGCTTTATTAGAGTGATGACGGCCGACTGGCAGGAACAAAATGGATGATGCGTGAAAGTGGTTTACAGCCACAAGACCACAAGTAATGTTATTCCTGTCGTAGCCTCAGCGTGAGCCATAGATCACATGCTAGATGAATCACTGAGATATAAATAATGATGAAGTTTGAAGCTGCGCTCTGATTCAATTCTACATATTAATTGTATGCAGGTTGTGAAAATGATAATCAAGTACACTCAGATACTTAGAAATGGTTTGAGCGTTCAACTGAACAGTCAAATAAACCTTGTCTCATATATGAATATGTGCCAAATGCATCTGAATGAAAACACAATCGCCGGCTTGATTATGTTAAATAGGTAGTGGCATTTTTATTTTAGCAGATTGAGGCGCTGGAGGTTTGAGGATGTTGTTGGGGTTGAGGAAAGGGGAAATACGCAGCAGGACTTTGACATTGGAGATCGAGGTTAGGTCTGTGAGTTCAGCGCGAACATTAATAAGTAAGTAAAGACATCAAGTCCAATTCTTCAAGCCACTTTTAACTTTTTCAGTATTGAACCATGAGACCATAATCTTTTTCCCTTAACCCTTAACCAAGAGCTCTGAGTGCCTGAGCATGATAATAAAAACATTAATCATGGAAAAAGAGGAGCAGCTCACAGCTGCAAAACATCCAGACAATTTGCAGATGGTGCTGATAAAGCTCTCAGAGGACTTTGAAAAAAGAAACAATAAGTATTACGGCTCAGTAATAACAATGTGATTTCTCTTTCATAAGCTTAAGTGGCAGTCACATTCAAAAGTCATGGGGTCCAATTTCTATTTTGGTCTTTTAGAAGAAAGAAAAGTATAGTAGAAAGACTTTGGACACTTCGCAAATTAAATGTATCTTTCTTCATGATGAAACCCCTTGTTTTGCTAAGGAAACTATACAGGCTTTCAAATTACATTCATGTCCACATAAAAAGGTCATAGATTGCTGTTGTAATTTAAATGGCTGGTATTGGAAGTGTGGCAGAGTGCCCAACAGTCCCCTTATAAGACCTCATTGAAATTCACTTGATCTGGGTTTTACACACTTGTATATCAGTCTCCAAAACATGCCTGATTTTTTATTTCATCAAGATCAAAATGTTGAAAGTCGCTTCATTTTGCATTGTTGTAAAGAAAGTGAAAGTCCGTGCCCTGATCCGGGTCTGCACCAGTTTTGAATGTTTTTTCTTCATAATCCTTAAAACAAATAACAACAAAATGCAGACAACAGCATAACCTCCTACTGGTGGAGATTCAAATTTTACACTCAGCAGCAGCATGTTTTACAGTGTACAACCTGTGCAGTCAGCCTCTGAGCTCCACAGCAGGGGGCACAATTAGGAGTCGCGTGACCTCTCATTATATCCCTGCTAATTGAGCGGTTTGTTGGGACGGCTCTCTGCTTCAGAAGCACCACACTGTCTGGATACGCCACAAACAAACACACTGCAACCGAGCCTCTGTCACACACACACACACTAAGGATGAACCACAAAAATACACTGAAACAAACAACACACACACCACGGTTGTAGATTAATGAATGAATAATGAATGTTTTTTTAACTTTTGTGTTGCAAACAACTGTACAGTGATCCGAGAAATAACAAATGAAGTTTATACGGAAAAGAAAAAACTCAGCAGATTGAAAGTTTACTGAATGTTAGATTTATGGGAGGTGTGTCTCAGAAATGAAAACCATGTGGGGAAGGAAAACTGCAATTTTATCATACAAACAAACACAGACACACTCTGCTCACTCTGTGTGTGTTATTCGTGACAGCAGAGCGTAGGAAATCAAGTCAGCCCATCAGACAGTCAGCTTGAACTCACACCCGGTGAACACACAAGAGGTGTTCTCCTTCTCCCCCAGATATTAATGAAATAGCTGCTTGACACAGATATGAGGGTGGTTGAATCTGTCAGCATGCAGTCGCTGAATGAGCTGACTCAAGCCCCAGGAGAGAGCGATGAAAGAAGGAGAGAAGAATGTTACCAATGGGGAGAGAGGTAGAATTGGACATGCATTTGCATTGTGGGACAATTTTACATATTTTCGCAGAAATAAGAATTAGTCTGATAAGGGTGCCAGACACAGATTATACAGATGCACAACACGTCTGCACTTCTTCCCACTATTCTGTGTCTCAGAAGCAATCAGGTGATGCAGCCTCAAGTAACTAATGAACATGCATCAGTGTGATAGATCAATGATCTAAAATGAAGTGTGAGGGTGGCTGGAGGAGCCCCTTCACCTGGACCAGAGGATCAATCAGTGCAGGTGAGAGCTGTTAGCTGATTGAGCCTCTGGTACAAAAGGCAGCAGAAGAGCTGCCTCAGAGAGACACAGGCAGAGAGGACTGAGACACAGAGACACTTGGGAGAGACACTGAGCTGCGAAGCTTAGACAGAAACTGCTGAACCCCTTTAAGTTTAGTTTGTGTGTGTGTGTTTAAAGATTAATAAAATGTGAGTGGTTTGTTTCTGGCTGTTGTGGTGACACCCTGGTGGCACCGTCCCTTTGCCAAAGAAAGAAACAATCTTTGCAAAACAATTATTCAATGTTTACCTTGACTTTTCTGATTGGCCCATGCCCCATATAATAATATTGAGGAGCTGGGATTTATGACCAATACTGCAGTCGACCACCAGGTGGTGATTAAGATGCTTTGGCATCGTCCATCTTTACAGTCTGTGATGCCAAATGGAAAAAGAAATCTCCTCAGTTATTATGTTTCATTTATCCTCTATAACTATCCCAGGCCTGCAGAACATTTCCAGACTATCTGTGTGATTTGTGCAGGAATATTTATTATCAGAGTATGGGACTGACTGACCAGCATTAATATCCATTGATGTGTTTTCTCCTTTTCATTTTGTTCATTTTTTTCACCATTAAGGGATCTAGTTTGAACTCTAACAGATCACTAGCAATTGTCGTACTTTGGTTTCTTAAAAGACATATGTCAACTCCTCTGCCCTTGTGATGATATTTAGTCTGCATGCATTACAATGCACACACATGGACACACACACACCTTTACTCAGTCAGAACCTCACACTCTCCCCTCTGTGTAATCCCATCTGATCTTGCCGACACTGTTGTTAGAAGCCTCCTCTCACTCCGCAGCCTCTCCCAGCGCAGCCTTTGAACTGGGCTGCCAAGAAAGTGTAACCCTGCGTGCCTTTTTCTTTGACTTTCAGGAATGATCAGGCACATTATCATGATAAAACTGGCAGGGGTGAGGAGCTGAGTGGAAGCAGAGGGCCCCCAACAGAAAAAAGCAAGCAAGAGGCTTGAATATTGTCAACGTGTTGTTAATAAGCTGCAGGAGAGGTGTGTGAGCATTTGAATTCCTGCGTGTGTGTGTGTGTGCAAATTCTTTGCACGTGTAGGTTTGTGTATATGTGTGACTTCAAATGTGAACTCTGCTGTCAGGGTGTGTGTGTGTAGCAGGGTGTGATGTCAGGGTACATTACAGCTTATTGCTGGGTTGAGTGACGTGCAGGATTATCAGCTGATGGGAGAAATAAAAAATGGCTTTCATCAGCGTGGGGCTGGGGCCCGCATGTTTGATGTTGTCTGAAAGAATCATGTAGGAGGTGAAGGAAAAGTAGAAAGAGGTAGAGGGCGGGCGGGAGGTTGAGTGCCGACAATACAGGGTCATTACAGAGCATCAAGTGGTTCTGCTGGATGATGATGGAACTTACATTTCAAGAGCCCTGTTATCTTACAGATCCTCCACAATCCTCGTACTTTCTTCTCTCTATGGCAGTAATGTCACTGCCACAATCTCCTTACACCATGTGTAGTATAATTCTTCTGTCGGTGCTTCCATCATGCCACTTCCTGAAAAGAGAATCTGAATATTATAGTGTCCATCGGATTATCTATATTACTTATTCTTTGATGGTTTTGAGTTTATCTGGAGCCAATCACATCTGACATTAGTGGGTTACATTCTGAACAAGTCACCAGAGTATCGCAGGTCCGACATACAGAGTTTCCTTTTAGTCAATCTGCATGCCTTTGGACTGGGAGAGGAAGCCAGAGTACCTGGAGAAAACCCACGCAAACATTGGGAGGAGATGCAAACTTTACATAGAAAGGCAACTGCTAACTACTTTAGCACTGTGCCACCCATTCATGTATTGTGTAATCCTGAATCTTGTTGGAAGAGATGTGTGTTTTTGTGAAGATGGTGCAAACAGAAAGATTAAAATGTTAAGTGACCACCAGAGTCATCAAATCCAATTTACAGGGAATATTCCTGTATTATATATATATAAATTGACCTTCTGGGACAATAAAGATAATTGGTGTACAGCCAGTAGAACAATCACACAACCAGGACATATATAAAAAACATACTTAATACGCTCATGTGAGGGTATTGAAAAGGTTAATGACAGCAGGGACAGATGAGACTATTTAAAGAGACTAAATCTGAGACCCCCCAAAAATAGTTTCAATCTGTCATGACCTTTGTTCTTTGTTCTACTTTTGTTTTGTCTACTGATAGGCCACTTCCTGGGGAACCACAGCGTGCTGGACATCCTCAGGCAGGAGGGTTACGAGATCATCCACACGCCCTCTGATCACCAGGAGCCAGAGTGAGTACACAGTGTAACAGATGACGGAGCGTGTCATTTCATTAAAGCACTGTGGTTAGAGAGAAACAAAAACGTATGTTAATGAAAAGCAGCGAGAGTAACATGATTACTTATTTCAGATGAACAATTCCAGAGTTGTGCAGGTAATCAGTCACAGTTAGGTTACACTTTGAGACCAAACCACAAGTCTCCCAACCTGACAAGATAATGGAAAGAAGATTGTGGTTATGTTTCAGCATTAGTCTGATAATGTTATGGTAATACGGACTGTGAGAGAGGTTCTGTCCAAATTCTGTAACAAATAGAAGCTAAACTATGCAGGAATCCTTTTGAAAGCTCATCAACTCCCTCACCTTCCTCGCTGCTGCAGCAGCCGCCTGCCAACGGCTCGCTGCCAGTGGTGGTTCTGTCTGTTCTCAGCAGCCACTGTTACCACAGTCAACACAAACACACACACACACATATACATATGTACATATGCAATGGGGTTGCAGGGTTGCACACACACGTACACACAAACTCAAACACACCTCACACAGAGGCTTGGCAGCATTTGAAGAAATGCTGCCAGCATTGTGTGTGTGTGTGTGTGTGTGTTTGTGTGTGTGTGTGTGTGTGTGTGTGTGTTTGTGTGTGTGTGTGTGTTCCTGTACTTATATCTTAGTGAGAACCATTTTACGCGAAGGCCATACAGAGTGAGGACATTTTTGGAAAGTGAGGACATTTCAGCCGGTCCTCACTTTTTCAAAGGGCTGTTTGCTGGTTTAGACTTGGTTGAGGAGAGAGTTAAGTTTATGTTTGAGTTCGAATAAGGATTCCAGCCAGGCAGTTAGTTGTGATGGTTAGGGTAAGGGTCTAGGGAACGCATAAGGCCAATGAGGGTCCTCACCTAGATAGACGTACAAGAATGTGTGTGTGTATGTGTGTGCACCCTTTAGCAGCCCCCCCCCCCCCTTCACCTACGGGGTTGATCCATGGGCCTATAAAATAGTAACAACAGCCACTTGAATCATGGTGGAAATGGAAAAACAAGGCACAACAAGAGGAATCTCTTTAGAACTGTAAAAACATCCAGCCGGGGCTTTTTTCTCCCTGCTAAATTACAGCTGTGAATGTAGCCTCCCTATCTCCCTCCACCCTGCGTGCAGAGTTGTGGGCTTCAGCCGGTGGTTCTTGTTTTAAAAGCTGACAAGTGGACCGACTTACTGTGGTCACAAAACACTCACGTATGCTGCACACACACACAACCGCACGACCACACGCTCACACGTGTGCATGCTCGCAGACGCTGCGGAGCTCCCCGGTACAAGGTGATGTGACAGGCGAGGGAAAACACCACAAGATGGCTGCATGCGAGGTGTTTATGGAAGCTCGTAGCCTCAGCCCTGGAGTGTGTCGACTCCACTGGCACAAGGTCTTTAGGAGCGATTATATGAGTGAGTGACTGACAGAGTGGACTGGAGCTGGGTTTGGCTCCACAGTAGCTTGACCACAGGTCTGGAGTTATCATCGCCCAAACCAAAACCATCAAGACCTGAATGGGTGTTTCTGACGCCTGGAGCAGACGTACACACCATCAATTTATGATCGCAGATGAGACAAAACCATGAGTGAGCAGTGGAAATTGTGACTAAAACCATCCATCATATCATGTTGAGTATTATTAAAGTTTGATGTCACATAAGAATCTCCTCTTACCGTATATTTTACTTTCTACTGCTTGTTTCTTACATAGCTTGTATAATACTTCTTTTTCTTATGTCCCACCTTGAAACACAAATTCATTTTCGAGCCGGGAAAGACAGGGAAAGAACAAGAGCAGAGAAAGTATGAGTAATGAGTGGAAGAAAGAGGAGCATGGCAAAAGTCTGTGAGTAGAGTGGGTGATTCTGGGTGGTCTGCTTTGGACAGATGTCAGTTTTGACACAGCAGTCCGGTCACTGGAGGTACAACATCCTCTAATGTTGCCTGTTGGGTATTTCTGCCACTCAGTACAGGGTTTATAGAGCATGGCATCCTATTTGGAGTTCATATCCTTGATTGAACTTGATTGAAAGGGGCTGTAAGTGGAAAGTAATGAAGTGGTCAGGGACCACAAACAAAAATATTCGCTGGCAGCCAGTCTGAAGTATTAAAAAAGTCTGACAGGAGGCCTGAGAAAGACAAAAATTCCTATTTTTCATCTATGCCGCAAAGGTTTCAGTGATACTTTTGGACACACCAAAAATGTATACTGTCAAAAAAATCCCATCAAGGCTTTTAATGAGGATAAAATGATTTAATTTCCTTTTCATCCTCTATCTTTCCTTTGCTCCAGGAGAAAACCAGCTGAGGAGCCTGCAGCAGGTTCCAGTGATGAGAGTCCAGACAGCAGCACTGTCTCTCCCACCAGCTGGCAGACCAGTCCATCAGACCTGGAGCTGGAGGACCCAGACCACGTCCCTGGACTTGGAGACGAGGAGCTGCCTCACCTGCTGCTCCCCGACAGCCTGAGCCAGCTGGAGGATTTTGGACGACACAAGCGTCCCCGCAAAACTCACCGCGTACACGGCAAACCTCGTCTCTTCAGTGACCTGTGGGTTCGCATTGGGGACGGGTGAGATATCTAATATATTCTAATATTATAGTTTTGAGAAGTAACTTGAGGAGGACTAAGATGTAGATACTCGATGAAAAACTTGTTTTTCAAGTATTTAAGTATATATTTTATTAATATCTCCCTATGACAAAAAAATTAATATTAACATTAACATTTCACCAAAAAGAGACATTCATATAATTTTATAATGGTGCATAAAGAACTTATACCAGACAGCTGTGGGTCATGCTGTGGAGCTTGTCTTCCACTCACCAGAAGGTCACTGGTTCACTCTCGTGTTGTCCATGTGTGAATTATGCATGATAGAAAAAGTGTAACATATAGCAGCGCTGTATAGATTTGTGTTTGAATGCAGCTGGTGACTTGATTAGACTTGAAAAATGTAATATTAAACAGTCCATTTACCATTATGATTATGAGTTGCAGATTTCAGTTAAAAAATGGATATGATGTAAAGAGTGACGTTTTCAGATCCAACTGTATCTGATTTTAATTTTAAAAACTATTGCAAAATTAAGTTACGCTGTTGAAGAATTTTTTTTGATGATCCAAAGTTTTTCAATTTATTATCATAGACGTCAAAGAAAATCAGCAAACATACACATTTAACAAGCTGGAAAAGTTGAGCTAAAAATGTAGTGAGAAATGAATTGCCACAATTGTTGCTTCCCATTGGACATTTTAGTTTCAGCTGTAGTTTGAAACTAAACCCTGACTTCTTTTGTCCTCTTTCCTCCAGCACAAGCCCGCCACCTAATGTGAGGATAGTCAACGGCTATGTGACCGTGGACCCTCCTCTGACCCACCAGGAGCAGCGCAGACTGGTGGAGATCTACGCCACCAAGCAACAGCCCGGTCCCCCTTCCTCCACCCCGCCCAATCCCACCTCAGCTCAGCCAGCTTCAGTCCACGGCACACTCACACTGTCCTGCCTCTTAGCCTGGATGTTATCACACATGCTGTTTACCTCCTGACCCCAGAACAGCGTTATCTCGCAGGCAAAACACTCAAACACTATTGCGTCCCTACAAGATCAGTGGAATGCACCTGATAAATAAGGAATGGTCATCAGCACATGCAGAGAAGAGGATGGATGCCACCACAGGGAGGCCTCAGGCCTGCCGTCATGTCAAGTCTCACAAAGTGTGGAATAATCTCTCAGCCGGGGAGTCTTCAAACCTCATGAAAGTATTACGATAGAATAACAAACACATAGCACGAAGAAGACCCGTCAAGAGTTTGTGTGGTGGAGTCTTCTACCTTATAAAGATGTAATACTGTATAGAAAAGTAAGACTGACATTAATAATGAGAATAGAACATACTAATAAGAGCTGTAACTCTGTGATAAATGAGTTGAATGCAGTAGAGTCGAGCAGGGCTGTGTAGGAGGTGACGCACTCACGTTGCCACTTTTGTAAATTGTGCATTTTGTTCATAAAAAAATATTTATTATTTCTGGGAGAAAAGAGTATATTTTCTTGTTTTTTGAAGAAAATGGAAACAATAAACTTTGAAAACTAATGAAGTGTCCAATGATTTTTTTTCTGTCCGACAGACAAATGATGAGGGTTGAAGTTAATGGGCAAGAACCTGAAAGCAAAATATAAAAATAAATCAGTAATGGCCTCATAAAGAGAGCGAGCAGACTGTGGGCTTTCTATATATATTCTCATTATATTCTAAATAACGACATTTTAGTTTAATAAGTAACTACATTAAACTGTCTGTGGATGTACTATGTGGCATCCTGTAATTCATTTAATGTATAGACCCAGTGCACATTGTTGAACCTAGTTATTGGTATGTGTGTATATTTATAATATATAATGGTTTTGTTAATTGTAAAATTAGTTTAACAGCTCTGATGTTGAGGTAATAACCACAAATTATATATTAAAAACATAACCATTAAATTAAAGAAGGGTTTTTTGAAGACACTGTTGTGCAGCAGTGTGATTCTGCCATCTGCTGTTCAAACTGAGACAGGGACGAATAACGTCACTCAGCCTGGGCCTGCAGCACCTGTGTCAGGGTTGAATCAGATGGCAACAGAGACAGCTCTGAATAGCTCCATGAACATAAGACTTCAGATCAATGCACCAAACAATATAGATTTAAGAAAGAAATGATGGGGAACATGTACAGAAAGTTGAGGATGTAATGATGGGCACAGTTCCTGTCTTAGAAAAAAAGAGCCTATCATTATTTCAGGACAACATGGTTTAGTTCCTGAGTTTAAAACAGTAAATAGAAAACAGTCAACCATAACTGCATAACTTAATAACAAAGTGTATGGCCTTTCATGACTGTTTTTTAAAGTTGTTTTTTTGTTTCACTGTGCTGAATGATGGAACTTCAGTTTGAAATATTATATATATATGTATATATATATATATATATATACACACACATACAAGAATATTATTATAAACAGTACTAAATGTGTATATGTTCAGCTGAAACAGAATTAGTGCAATGAACAGCACATAACTCAGACTGAAACTACCAACACATGAGTTGAAAATAGTTAAGGTGAGCCCATGCAGTCCATCATTATTCACAGAACATGGTCATTGATAATCTGGTTATAAAGGTCAGAGCAGGAGTCACTGCTTTAGATTTGTCAGAAAGATGAATGCTCTCCTCACAAACGTCATTTAACAACTATCATCTAGCTTTTATCATAACAGACAATTCCACTCTGGTTCTGCAAATTAAATTAATCTGTTTGATTAACTGATAAATCACATTTGTACAATTGTAGTGTCCCTTTCACCTCTCATACAATTTAAATATTTAGAATGTATAAGTTTTTCTGTTATTAGCCACTGGTCTTATGATGGCTGTACTGCACTTCTAAAGTTCTACCACTTAGTGGCGCTAGAGTCGCAGTTGCAACAACCCATATGGCAGAAAGCACTGCTGGTGAGATACTGTGTAAAGGCCCTGATCCAACAGGCTAAAGACCTGCACAGAGACAGGTACACACAGCTTTCTGGACATTAACTTTGATTCATAATACATTTATAGAGACATCTCAACCTAAACTTTTAGAATAAAAGATTATTATTCATCACATAAAAATATTGAATAGATCATTTGAAGACAATGAAAACTGGAACTATTATTCCGATTCAAGGTTAGAGATAATCATTACAAAAATACAGATAGTATGTTATCAAATATTATAGAATTTCTATATTCACATATAAAAACTACAAAAGTCTAATATTATTGTCACAGTTTTGTTTAGCAATTATCACATTGTCATATTGTTTTGCATTTCCAGAAACTGAAACTATTTATAACATATTGTATTTTATGTTTACATATCTGAACAAGCAAAAATAATATTTTCTCCTTTTTATCAAATGTCCATTTACTTTATAACACATTGTAAAATGTATACGTAACACTATTGCTTATTTAGTCACTTTTATTATGAGTAGATTTATTCCTGTTCATTTAACAAAATATTTAAAATCCATCAATCAATTTGATCTGTAAATTAAGGAAATAAAGTTAAAAGGCTACATTATATATTTTTTATATTCATATATTAATATATATATGTTTGTGTATGTGTATTTACAAGTATTACACAGATTGTATTCTTCTTATCTGTTGATGTGTCAACATTTATTCACCAGAAATAAAGTGAAATGAGGCAAATTTACAGTAGAGTGAGATTCATTTGGATAAAGTGGAAATGGCAAGTTGCTGCATAAACCTAAACTCTTGAAATGTTTTAATTAAATGCTTCTAATCAAAATTAATTGAACAGTTTTAATAATTAGAGAGAAAATTTCAATTTTACACTCATGTCTCTGAAGAGCCTTCCCCTCTTAAACAGTTGCCTCTTAAACGGTGGAAAAAAAAGTGAAGAGCAAGTTTTTTAGAACAAACAGCTTTTTCGCCCCTTAAGCCAAGACAGGACAATATTTGCCTTAGCTGGAATACCATTTTCCCTGGGCTTTGGGGTGTTGTTTGAGGGAGTGGGGGCCTTGACAGGGCGCTCTGAGGGCTGACCCTCACTCTGCCGGGGACAGGCCGCCAGCTGCATATAAATAAAAGATTACAGTGGAAAATCAATTTCTGAGCAAACTCATTAAAAATGCCCCTCACCTTAAATGATTCCCATTTCCTTCCATTCAACCTGTTAACGGCTAGCTGTCCCTGAGACCGACCACCCTACCCCCACATCCCTGCCGTCACCCTCCTATCCCTTCCCTCCCACCCCTCGTCCCTCCATCCTTCCTCTGCCCTGTTGCTCTCCCCTGGTGGTAATTACTTGCACAAGTCGTTTTTTGCCCTTTGATTTGCACCGTTTCACAAATGAAGGTTAAGTTTGTTTAACCGTGGTGGATTTGCCAGTCATGTTAAAGCATATAATGTGGCAGGTCCTTGGTTTCTCCACACTGCTGCAGCACCCCCTGGCCTGCCCCCACTCCCTCCATCTCCTTCCCTGTTGGCCTCTGCCTCCTGCGGGAGGGGGGGGGGGGATCCAAGGTTAAGGCTTACCGGGCCTGAGAAAGCCTACAGTGGATCAGGCTTCAGACCCATTAACTTGACTGAAAGGGGACCAGGAAGTTGTTAAAAATAACTTCTGGTAAAGAAGGATTAAGAATCAAACGGTCCTCTTTGCCCTGAGAGGACGTTAGTGTGATCCCAACAAGTTGCTAAAAAAAGATGGGTGAGGAAGAAACAGGAGTAAAAAAAAGGAGATTTTTTTAAATCCCTCCAAGGTCCTGAACCTGAAAGCTCCCCTACTGACATCAGTATTCTTCTTATAGAAAAAAAAGAAGAAATGCACATTGGCACAGACACACAGACAGATGTGTTGCAGTGTTTTCAGTGCCGCAGCCCCATCTTTGATCAATACCTCACACAGAGTGAAAGTCACTGGAGCCAAGGTGAACATCGATCTCTGGCAGCCGGAGCCGTTAAGAGCATTTCAAGTGTGTGTTGCTTTGATTGTTGGGCCGCAGCTCACACACTGATCACAGCAATAACACACGGAGGAGTTTTGTTATCACTCAGCCAACACACCCAATGACTCCAACATTAAAAGCAAGGCCTTGTTGTCTCCCCATTAATCAGATCTACACATGTGCCCCCCCCCGAAAAGCCACCTAAGAAGCAGTGGTTCTGTCTGTTTGTTGCCGAAGGATGTTTACGAAATTTCTTTTCTTTTTTTTTCAAACGCCGGATCTGTAATTATGCGTTGCAGGGAACGTCTGTCTACCCTAACCATGTCCTGTGTGGTGAACGATATCCCATATTTCACAGAGAGCTTTGATTCTCTGTCTAGCCGAGGGCAGCCATAAAGCTTTGGGAAAACAAAAGTGTGTTTAGCCCCGCGGCAGATAGCTCTTCTTCCCTCAGATAATCCTGCTGATAGCTGAGGCTGAGCGGTGCTGTTTGGTGAGCTTTGCTAACATCGCAGCTGACCTCTGTTTGTGCTGGTTGAGACATTATTCTCCCCCTATTGTCTGAGGCCCCTTGAAGATGAACGGGTTGGGCCCATGTGGCCTTGAGGTGTCTCGACACAGGTCAGGTGCAAGTCTCCATGACAGAACAGTGGGGACGGTGTGCTAATGCTCAGCAGGTCAGATTGTGCCGTGCAGTTTTGATCTTCATTCAATTTCATCCATTGCTTGTGCTTCGAACATGTTTTACCCACCAAGTTAATTGTTTGTCGGTTGGTTTGTATGTTTGTGTTTAAACAAGATACACAAAACAAGTGAATGGATTGTTGGAAGGATGTGGTATTGGTCAGGAAATAATCCATTGAGTTTTGGTGCGGCTCCGTAGCTCTGAGGGGGCATTTTAAAACATTTCACAGGGAATAATTTGTGGATCTTGATTTTTAAAATCTGGCACATTTAGAGGACTGGTCTCTATGAATGTGTGTAATCTGGCTTTATTGACTTTTTTTGGCCTTGGCGGGGGAATGCACTTCAGTGAGTTAAATTCTAGATAAAAGTGAAACACATGACAATAAAGGATAACACTGTTTTTATTTTATTTCTTTTATTTTTCACACTCCCAGGAGACTCGATTCATTTCTGTTATCTATTTGACCATGTGGGCTATTCTCTCTATCCTAGAACTCCACTGAAACCCACAGACTAAAAAAATACATTGAAAAGGCAGATTTCTGAAAGAAGTCGAAGACTGCATGTGTGATCCCTGACAGTCATCAGAGTCAAGGACACAGCTCTGTTTATTCTGCTTCAGTTTGAAGAGCTGAGAGAAATAAACTATGGGCTTTGTCTTTGTATCAAAGGAATATGTCAGCCAATGCAACAGAAGTGCGTGTGTGTGTGTGTGTGTGTGTGTGTGTCCACAGCTGGCTTCTGTGGCATTAATGCAATAACCTACATCAGGCTGAGTAAACACTGGTTTCAATAGAATACGTTTATTGTTATTTATTTTTTTGTACACATGATTTACAGAAAAAAGAGAAAAATTACAACAATTCAA